TCTAATCAGATTCAATGATCTATGCTAAGCTGCAGCTAAAAGTGCTACCGCCAGACCCGGAGATCGGCGGAATGGATTCGAAAACGGTAAAACTCAACTGTTTAACTCTAGGGGAGTTGGAAAATGAGCCTATTTTCAAAAATAGTGGAGTGTTCCTTCAAGACCTGCATAAACCAGCTGGGAGACCAACTAGCTGTCCAGTCTAGGCTGGAGGATCAGCTAGACCAGTTGAAGAAAAGCCTAAACCAGTTAAGGCATTGATAAACCAGCTGGGAGATCAACTGGCAGCTTAAAACCAGCTTCGCCAAGCTGGAAGACCAACTGGCTATCCGGTTAAACTATCTAAAGACCTGCTTGGCCAGGCTGGAAGACCAGCTAAGACCAACTTAAACCAGCCTAGTAAGGTCCAGCACACCAGCCTTTGCTGGTTTACACCAGGAGTTTCAGCAGGTGTAGGTTTAGAGGACAAAAACTAAGGTAACAATCATTTGTGACAAACAACAATGCCTCTATCTTGCAACCACAACTTCAACATCTGTAAATTTTTTATGCTCTGAGCCATATAACAAAAATCCATGCTGGCATGTTTTATTGATATATTAAACATTTAATAAGGATGCATTACAGTCCTAAACACATGGAATCTATGCATGTGCACAATGCTACTTACCCAGGCGATGGCCATGATGCCTAAAGCGAAAAGACTGGGGCCCAGCAGGTTCCACAGGCCATGGCGGTCCAGCTGTAAGGCCATTGACAGAGCCATCGCCCCCAGCAAGTACAGCACCTGGTAGGAGAGCGGCAAAGAGGAAAAATATTAGTCCAAACATCGACAACTCATCATGTCTAGAGGCGATAGTGAGTCCCCATTCCAATTAGGACCATCTTGCATCGGCCACCCTCTCTCAGACAGACTGTAAGTAAAGAGTGCTGGTGCTAAAAATGTCTCTCTCACTCTCTTTCCTTCCCTCCTAAAGTTCAGAACAGTAGTGACATGGGTGATTTGATTAGTGTCTGCAAACTGCAGCACTCAGCAAAACACACGCAATTACCTAACGCATATAGAAGCGTTCTCCCTAGAGGAGAGCTATTTTTTCTTGGTCTTTCCATTAGATGCTTCCATCACAAACAGCAGTCCTCTCACTTTATTTTTCTGATTCTAAATTACTCAAACATAAAGTTAATCACATTCTTACTGTCTTTCTCCCTGTGTTCCTTTCCTTAAATCTCACTCTTTCCCTCAGCGGTTGAGCAACTGAAGACTGAACTACAGAGAGTATACACACACCTGAAAGTGTCCACCTATATTTACTCCACAGCGAAATGTCACCATCATTATGACAGCACATGACAGACTGCTGACATTCGTATATTTACACTCTGTGTAAGCGCTTTACTGAGGTGGACAAAAAATTTCTGCTCTCTTGCACATCTTAGAAAGCTCTTTTCTTGGCAATAAAGTCCGTGAAAAACTACTGGCCTCCATGAATCACATCAAATGAATTTATAGAAATTGATGACACAAGAAATATAAAGCATTTCTGGGCCCCAGGGCCTTCGTATGTAATTTTAACTATCAGATTGTGGTTCTTATATACAGTGTAGTGGCCCTAAAAAGAGAATTTTGGGCACATACACTACTTTTCAAAAGTTTGAGGTCAGTAATATTTGTAATGCTTTTGAAAGGAGTCCCTTTATGCTCATCAAGGCTGCATTTATTTAAAATAAAATACAGTAAATCAGTAATATTCTGAAATATTTTAAATAAGTTTTTCAATTTTAATATATTTTAAAACAATTTATTCTTGTGATAGCAAAGCTGCATTTTCATTCATTTCATTCAATTTGGTGCTCGAGAAACATTTATTATTACTATCAATGTTGAAAACAGTTGTGCTGCTTAATATTTTTCTAGAAACTGTGATACATTTTTTTTCAGGATTCTTTAATGAATATAAAGTTCAAAAGAACAGTATTTAATTAAAATAGAAATCATTTATGACATTATATAATTCTTTACTGTCACTTTTTTTACCTTGCTGAAAAAAAAGATTATTTTAATTTAAATTAATTGCTTTAAAAATCATACTCACCCCAAAGTTTTGAATGGTATAAGTTTCAGTATGGTTTGATTGTTTTCTTCTTTATTCAATGCAAACACACTCATACATTTTTTGAGCTCACTGAATATTATAGCCACACTTACAAAACATTTGAAAGCACAGAGTGAAGAACCACAAGACTTATCGAAATTAAATTTGCATCTGTTTTCTTTTTTTCTTTTTCTTTTTTTGCATACGAGTTTGCATCTGAGTGATTTTTACCTGTTTGATAATGGATTTGAGTCTGGCCATGGCGATAACAGTGACCCATACAGACATGAGCGAGCCGAGGAAGTCACAGAACTGCAGCACGTCATACTCCATGATGCAGAAGACCACAATGCCTGGCTGGTCACAGGCATGATAAAACTGTTCAGGGGTGAAAGAAGAAAACAAAAGGTCAGAGGAGGCATGAATAAAATATGACACTCTGACATGTCACTGGTCCTTAACTGTAATCTCCATACTTCAGCTGCCACTGATATGCTGAATTAGAACTCATGATGGGTTTGTGAGATAGTCAGCAGGTTGTCAAGCACTTATTGCGTTAATTAGGCGTATTTGTTCAAAACTGGAACAGAATGCAAATCTACTATAAAATATAAATTATACAACAGTTAGTTCCAGTTCTTTCATACGACTGGTCCATTAAGTTGATTTACAAGTTACAACAGCTTTGAACATATCTCATCAAGTCAAAATTTAGAGTTAGGATTATTCATTTTTATTATGTTTGAAACTATACATATCTTTATTTAATTTCAGGTGATTCATGAAGACTGATGAATATAACCTGTTAATGTCAACATGCAACTAGCAACTGAAATGTTTATGCTATCCCCATTTTGGGTATATTTTTGATAGGTTTAAACCAGGCCTTCAAACTCACAGTGGAAAAGAACATGGTGAATATATAGACAGACGCCTCCAGCAGGTAATGACTGCGGATGGCGATGGTCACAGGTGGGATGAACATCAGGTTGCTGAGGCACAGAAGGAGAGTTGAGAGCAGCTGGAAGCTGTATGAGTACGCCTCTGTGTTGTCCGTGCAACCCCAGCCATCCCAACCTAGAAAAGCACACACGCGTTACTAACCAAAATGGTCCTAAACTGGACTCAAAATGGACCAGAAAGCTACAGTTTTAAGCATAAATCCTGAAAACTTCAGTCCCAGTTCACTGTAATTACATGGAAAAGAATGTGCAAAACATGTCTTCAAAATTTATTTTATGTTCTGCAGAAGAAAGTCATGTAAGTTTGGAATGACATGAATTTGAGCAAATGACGACTGAATTTTCATTTTTGGATGCACCATTTCTTTCAATGTAGGTACACTACTGTTCAAAAGTTTGGGGTCAATAAGATTTTTATTTATTTATTTTTTAAAGTAAGGATTAAATTGATCAAAAGCGGTTAAAAAAAGATTTCTATTTCAAGTAAATGCTGTTCATTTGAACTTACTTTTCATTAAAGAATCCTGGGGGAAAAAATCATGCATGATGCTTTCCACAAAAATATGAAGGAGCACACCTGTTTTCAACATTGATAATAATAATAATAATAATAATAATAAAAGTTTTTTTTAGCAGAAAATGAGCATATTATAATGATTTCTGAAGGATCATGTGACACTGAAGACTGGAGTAATGATGCTGAAAATTCAGCTTTGCCATTACAGGAATAAATTACATTTTAAAATATATTCAAACAGAAAACAGCTATTCTAAATGGTAATAATATTTCATAATATTACAGTTTTTACTGTATTGCAACCCCATGTTTTTGAAAGGTAGTGTATGTACAATATACTCCTGTCCATATCCTCAAAGCAAACTAAGCAAGCAAAAAACTAAATAATAAAACACACATTGGAAATGCATGTAAAGCTAACAGAAAAAAACACATCACAGAAATATACATGTACTTTCTTCCTCGTTCACACACACATTCTGTTCCTCATCTGTCAGCTGTTGTAAACAGCTTCATAAATATAGATTGGATTCGGGTAGCCTACTGTTATATAAACACCATGAAGGAAATAGATGTACTGCACCTCTAACCTCTCATAGAAAAAGCTAGAAAACACACCACAAATCTCTCTGATTACGAAGCCTTAATTAGCCGAACCACAAACAAAAATCCTCAAAGGCATGTCGTGATTGAAGTCTCGCTGAGTGTCGACAAAGACGGTCAATTGAGCTTTACCAGACACTCGAGAACAGAGAAGAGCTTTGCATGCGTGCTGTATCAGAGCACTCAGCTGTATGCCAGAAAACATTCATTAAAAGGGTAAATTTGTCTATGCTAATGACAAAAGAAACTATGGGTAGGAATCCAGGGGGAGAGAGGAAACGAGGCACCAGAGCTTTATAATGGCGCTGTAATTGAGAGGTTGTGATTAGCATATTTCTCAGGATCATCAAATGTCCTCTAATTAAAAACCACTTGATTTGTGATCTCACAGTTATACAGCAACATGATTGGCACATGTGTAACTGAAGCATTTAACATGCCAATTAACTTTGATTGGTATCTGACAGCAGAGGAGAAAGATAATAAATGGAATTATAAAATATTACTGTGATTATCATCATATTAACCGCAAGGGTGATAACACCCTGGGGAGGGAGGATAGACTTGTTCACTTAGTTAAATGACTCAGAATTCCTGCTCCTTTATTTTCCTGAAAGATAAAGTTTCAAGGAGTTTTCAAGCACACGCGTCACATTATAAGTGTAGGAACCAAAATTGTCCTGCACGCCACTTCTAGGACTACTGGGGGATTTCGGCGCCACTTTTGATTTGTGACACATAATTACATCTAATATTTCTAATATGGCAAGTGCATGAGTTGATTCTTGGCAAAACAAAACAAAACCAAACAAATTGGAATTGTAGCATTATGAAGAAAATGCACTACCTTTCGAAAGTTTTAGGTCAGTAAGATTGATTGATTGATTTTTTATTTTCTTCAGCAAGAACACAGTAAAAAAAGAAAAACATTTATAATGTCATAAAAGATTTATATTTAGAATAAATAGAGCAAATAAATATAAATTTTGAACAACACTAATAATAAGAAATGTTTCTTGAGCACTAAATCAGCATATTGGAATGATTTCTGAAGGACTGGAGTAATGGCTGCTAACAATTCAGCCTAGAATAAATTACAATTTAAAATATATATTAAAAAAAACAATAAACATAAGTTTAATTGTAATAATTTTTCTCAGTATTTCTGATCAAACGAATGCTGCCTTATAGCTTAAAAACCTTTAAAAAATCATGAAAATATTATCTAGTATATGTGAACTGATTCTTAAATTCCTCGGCCTTTGAAACCTGGAATGTGAAACCTGTATTTAGTACACACATTAGAAAATTCAAAGACAATGCATTTTATTGTTCTTCTTAACCCTTAAACAGGCAATGTGCACCACATGATACATATTCTTTAGTCTCTTGTAGGAGACACGAGGAAGACTTTTTCATCCAATCCTGTTATCATTATCATAGTTGAGGTTGTTTGGAGTATGGGGGTCACATGACTTGGTTCAAATTTTCAGTGCTTGTATTGTCAGTTTGACCTAAAGCCAACACGTACTCAGAAAATCCAAAATATCTCAAATATTAAAAAAATGATATGTTTTACTTAAGTCCAGATGATATAAAAAGTGACATGAAATGATTTTTTGCTGATCATTTTCCACTCTTGCCTGTTTTAGGGTTAAAAATATGACTAAGTTACACCAATCATTTTACAAAAGAGAACACATGGGTTAAGAAAGGCTTTGGGTGCTCACCTGCTTTACACTCGCATGCAGCATACAGGTAGTTGTTGGTCCGCAGGAGTTTGCACTGGCCATAGGTGCCACAGTCATTGATGCAGGGGGTCAGGTAAGAGCGAAGGTACACCTCAGCGGTTACATTAGTACACATCTCAAACCTGTACAAGAACATGGAGATGACCAAAAAAAGTGAAAAGTCGAATATAAGCTTTTAGGAAAACTACCAAGAATGAACAGTATGAAATTTCTTTGAGCATTCTGAGAATTCTGAAAATGCAGTTACAATAAATGGGGATTGAAGCTTTTAGGGTTGCAAAAGCTTTCAAGCTTTGTGTGAGAAACAGCCCAAAATTAGAGATGTTATCTTCTGTGTTTCTCACACACAGCTATAGCATGGCTTCACAAGAATTATAGTTCACAAGTTGCATAGATCATTTTTACGATATTTTTATGGTGATTTTGTGTCCTTTTCTTGAAGTTGAACTTCTCAGTCATTGTACTTTCATAGAAAATACAAAGCAGCACAGTCTTGTAAATAACTCCTATTGTGTTCAGTGGAAGAAAGAAAATGTTTGGAACAACACGAAGGTGAGTAAATGATAACAGAACCTGCATTCGGGCGAGCTCTTCCTTTAAGATAATATGAGAATATAAGTCGAAACTGATGCTATAATCTGTATGGTAGTGTAAAAATACATACTGTACAGCCTCAGTGTGCAATTTTGAATGAAGATATCAAACTTAACATGAACTCTCACTGTCAGAATTCATTTTCATTTTGAATGAGATAAAGTAAGGTTACGAGAGTCTAGGTTAACATAAAAGTGAATTGTTTCACAAGTACTGTATTTCAGAGCAGAAAATCGGAAACATCCCACAGTTCACATGCTGCTACTACTGCACTTGCTAAATGTTGAAGAAGGTAAATACATGGAGTGCTATGAATATTTTACATCCTTTTCTCAGCAACTGCAGTCTGATAATTTAGTGCAGAAACGCAAACAGAAAGACAAATATGCTCACCCGTGTTCAGTGGCACACAGGGATCGCAGGCTCAGATACCACGTGCCCGTTTGCGGGTAGGGAATCCTCAGCTTGGTGATATTTGCGGTGGTGTTAATGGACAGATTAAATCCTGAAACTGATTCTGATAAAGAAAGAGCAGAAACAGATAAAGGAGAAGACAACACTTAGTGCCACCATTAGCTATGACTGAACTCACAATTATTATTGGGAGCATTCTAAAGAAAACCCTGATAAGTGCATATCTGAGTGATGTGCTCAACCATAAAATGGACCATAAAAGAAAATTCATGTGGTAGAAGCAAGTTTACCACATCTCACCTGCAACCATGCGATGCAATTTATGTTGCATTTGCATAGAAATGGCGACATCTTTCTTTGTTTCACCTGAATTGTTTCCAAAAAAGGCACTTCATTGTTTTTATTGCCATGATTTTGGATCAAAGCCCTAGGGAACGTTAGTTGTCTTCATGAACATTACAGCAAAGGGCACTGGCCCAAAACAATTTAAAAGACAAACGGAAATACATTTAAACATTGTCTGTCCCTACATTTTTTTTCTTCACTGTAAATCCACTGCAAAAATTATGGTAACAGTTTTTCAATATAGTTTTTCACCAAAAAACATGACACTAAAATAATGTCATGAACATTAACAAAACAACATAAAATTTAACATTAAAAAAAAAAAACAAAGCAAATTCTATATTAGTACTCAATTCAAGCTTGAACAAATTAAAGCTTAAATATAAATGTTATAAAATTAAGTAAAACCAAGTTTTGGAGTGCTGAATTACAAAATATGTAGATGTGGTGACAGACTAAATGATATCTATTGTATTATTTACTTAGATGTTTCTAAAACACACTTTAAAAGCATGGTTTAACTCAATGCTACATTAAGTAAAATCAAAGTAATGCCACGTAAGCTTTGACTAGATAAAAATTACTCAATCTTTCACTGGCCAAGCTGAAAATATGTTACTTATTTTCTTTGTTCAACTTACTTAACTTAAAGGGGTCATATGATGCGATTTCAATTTTTCCTTTCTCTTTGGAGTGATACATACACATACACTGCATGGTCAAAAAAGTCACCATCTAGATTTAAGTAAGCAAATATGTTACATTTTAAGATTGGATCATTATTGCAGTGATTTATATGTTTCTGGCGGGTTGTATGTTTTGCGAAATGATTCTGTGGTGAAGGAAAAACAAATGTAATTTCTACATGAAAAAGTTAGTTCAAGCTATAATAAAAAAAACAAAGCAAATTCTATATTAGTACTCAATTCAAGCTTGAACAAATTAAAGCTTAAATATAAATGTTATAAAATTAAGTAAAACCAAGTTTTGGAGTGCTGAATTACAAAATATGTAGATGTGGTGACAGACTACATGATATCTATTGTATTATTTACTTAGATGTTTCTAACACACACTTTAAAAGCATGGTTTAACTCAATGCTACATTAAGTAAAATCAAAGTAATGCCGCGTAAGCTTTGACTAGATAAAAATTACTCAATCTTTCACTGGCCAAGCTGAAAATAAGTTACTTATTTTCTTTGTTCAACTTACTTAACTTAAAGGGGTCATATGATGCGATTTCAATTTTTCCTTTCTCTTTGGAGTGTTACAAGCTCTTGGTGCATAAAGAAGATCTGTAAAGTTGCAAACACTAAAGTCTCAAAACCAAAGAGATATTCTTTATAAAAGTTAAGAGTTAACCACGCCTACCTAAAACGGCTCGTTCTAACACGCCCACACATTTCTACCTCACTATGTGGGAAGATTTGAATAACGCCGCCCAAATGTTCACGCAAAAGAAAGAAGGCGTAACTTTTATTCACGCTGTAGTATTGTTGACGCTGCAGCCATGTACCGAAGACGCTGTGTGCTTCGTTGTGAAAGCGAAACTACTTTGTTTGG